AACCGGTTGCATCGGTTTTCGGATCACCAGTATACTGAACCTAGAACCGTTTCTTTCGGACACATCCGATTTGAGAACCGATGAGCTGATGATACTGCGCATGCGTGATTCAGCGTGAAGCTACCGATCAGATTGCCTACTAGACTGACACAGCACGTCTGAACCGAACTGGTTCTTTTGGACAACTGATTCTGTGCTATGTTATGAACGCGGGTAAACCGAAGACTTGAATGAAGGGCAATCCGGCGAAACGTAAGTTTACTTACAAATAAACCGTAATGGATTATACATAGTAAGTGGAGCACAGTTTCTGCGCTGATGAAGACGTCATAACTGTAAAACATCCTAGTTTGCAGATCACTGCCTGTATATGTGTTGATGCTTTAGATACAAAAATCCAAATTGTAAGAAACGGATCAGATTATAATGATGTTTTAATTGACTGATGTTATGATTACTGACTTTATATTTGAATGTGTTAAGCCCGCGATAGACTTGACGCCATTACGTCATCGCCAATGACGTCATTACGTCGAGCGTAAAAGAACCGGTGAACCGGTTTATTGAATCGAACTGTCCGAAAGAACCTGTTCGCGGAAAAGAACCGAACTTCCCATCACTAAAAAGAGCAGAGTGAACACTGCTTGGAGAGGTTCACTTCTCCCCTGCTCCAGATTTGTGTTGGGTGTTTCTTTTTCAAGTCTTTATCTGTTGATTGTGATGCAAACTTTAATAGTTATCTGTTGAGCAATAACTTCCAAGTGTAAGGTGTATTCCTGTTGACCAGCAGTGTGCTGAAACTACAAATAGTGTGTGTAACTTTAAGTAAACTTACTACTTTAAGGTATTAAAAGATATTGTAACTTTTTGTTATTTGCTTTATGGTTAGTTTGGAAGTTGTAGGGAGAGGGTGCCACTTTATTTTGTATTCATGTTTATTCCTGTTTTTGATTAGTGAGGGAGTTGTTGTTGATTTTCTTTTCTTTTACCTGGATAGGTTATTTAGTACGCCTCCTGTTAGTTAGCTGCTGTTTTGTTTGTTGTTTTGGCCAGGCCCTCTCCTGGAGACTTTTATTGCTTCTATGATTCTTGCTGTTCTAAATAAATTGTTTAAGTTTGCCAAACTAAGTGCTTGCTGCATTTCAGGGGTAGAGGATTGAAGTGATTCCGTTTTATTTCTTCCTTTATAAATTTTAGTTAACCTGTTACTCCCACTCCCAACCCTAGACTGGGGAACGGGAACGTAACAATATAATTAAAAAAGACACCTGACAAAAAACTTGACAAATTTCTGGACCTTTATAAGGAAACAGCCAAACGAACAAAACTACATAAATGTTATAATAGATAAAAGAAATGTGCACTGTTTTTATTTTATTAAATTTTTTTTTAATATTCCGAATTGTTCATATTCACGATTTTTAGTATTTGTACAGGCTTTACATTTTTATTTCAATGTTGTTATTAGCAATTCTTGTAATTTTATCTTTGAAGCAGATTTGTTGTGTGACAGCATTAAAGGTCCCATGACATGCTGCTTTTTGGATGCTTTTATATAGGCCTAAGTGGTCCCTAGTACTGTATCTGAAGTCTCTTTCCCGAAATTCAGCCTTGGTGCTGAATTTCAGCCACTACGAGCCAGTCCCACAATGAGCTTTCCTTAGGACGTGCCATTTCTGTGTCTGTAGCTTTAAATGCTAATGAGGAGGAGAGAGGCGGGGCAAGGTGGAGGGTGGGTGTGTGGCCATGGTACCATGCGCTCATGTTGACAATGTTGGATGTATAGCAATGGCTCGTAGACACGCAGTCGTTCAAGCTTTTCAGTTTGACCCAGAATCTGATCCGGATGGAGAAGCACCGGATGAAGAAGTTGCAACTCAGCGCTACAGCAGGACGTCTCCGAATGGTTAGTTTAAAATATTGGGTCTGGATACGGTACTTTAGTTGGTTTGTTTATGTATGCTGTTACAGTTATTATCATGTAGCTAATGCTAGCCTACGTTGTTAGCTTTTCCTGTTGCTCTGATTTACTATTGTGTATATATGTGTGTGTGTGTGTGTGTGTACAAACCCAATTCCAAAAAAGTTGGGACACTGTACATCTACCTTTTTGGATAGGTGCCGTTGTGGAAAATGTGCTACCATGCCCACAGAAGCTGAGAATATTTGCTGCTTGGAGATACCTCAGGTAGCATTCTCACCACTAAATTGGAAATTACTTTGTCTCTTCATTTAACAACTAATTGTGCCCAAAAATTAGGTCCATCATGTCAGCAACATAATCTGTATCATAAAACACAAGCACAAACATTTTTTTTTCTTTTTAATTGGTTGGGTTTTGTTTTTACTGTGTTTTTGTATTTAATTGATTCTTCATCAAGATAAATACATTTTTGGATTCCAAAATATGTGTTGTTTGAATTGATTTGAACCCTTACCAAAGGTCGGCTGTGTCTTTTGAGGTTTAACGCTGCACTCTCCCTTCCTAGCCTTTGGAAATGAGATTTCGAAGAGAGGTACACCTTCCTCCGTTTCGGCCTTTGGTCGGTCCGCATTTTCATTATAATGCATAGCAGCCAGGTAGAGTGTGTAAGTACAAGACAAAACGTGTTAATATTGACAGATATTTTAGGCTACAATTCCCAAAAGTATTGAGTAAACAAACTTTCTTTTACCTGCACAGCATTCCAATAAAGGGAAAGACAACATTCTTTGGGGCAAAACGAAGGATGACGGCATGGAAAGCCTCCAACGATGAAGTTTGGTGGTGGGGGCTCAGTTTTGCAACATCCTTCAGCGTACTTTTGTTTGTCAGCAACTTCTCCAACTTGTTGAAAGCTAGAGTATCTGCAGACAATAAGAAAATATCATATTAGAAAACAATACAGAATATTACAACGATGATCTCTGATCGATTTCTGAAAGTGACTAAATAACTGTGTAGTTATGTTTGTTTACTGTTTTGACATTTAGCCTGTAAATTTATTAAATACCTGCTTGGAGCCAGTTACTCTTGTCAGTTGTCTTGCGGATCGCATGCTCGCACTTGGGATAAAGAGGATCCTCGTGTGTATGGACATCTCGAACATGGTTCAGGATTGCGGTCCACTTTGCAATTCTCTCTGGCTCGGAGGTTGAGCCAGCTGCAGTCCAGTATATGTGGTTGTTGATGCTTTTCATCCACTTCTTGAGTTTCTCACAGTCTTTCTGCTTACTGATTGCTTCCAGTTTCTTTGAAATTCCTTACAGTGAAAGCAAAATACATTCCACTTAGTTAAGATACTCATAAACTGAGTGATTACTCTATTGTAGCATTTCATAATCAATTTCAAAGCATTTGTTACCATTTACTCATAGTGTCATAATTTTATAAAGTCATAATTCAAAAAGGAAAAGGCTGGAGCAAAACTGATAGATTTTGTATGGTATAATGGAATATGGACGTCAATCAGCTCCATATTGGCACTGACAATATACCTTTTGCCATGTGCCAGACATCGTAGTAATGGGTTATGTTTCTCTCCCTGAGGAACTTCTGTACTTGTGGATGACGATCAGTGACAATGCAATCAAGGTTGACGCCACGCGACTCCAGTAATGCTAGACTCCTTGTCAGGCCCTCTTTTTCCATGTGGCAGCTACCACCAACCTTGTTGCTCTGTTAACACAGAAAAACAATATATTAACACAAAATGCATTATAGACTTTGCTTTTAAAATTATAACCAATAACCCCTTTACAAAATCAATTTTGACAACTCACCTGAACCAACTTATTGTCCACAACGGTGTTAGTATGGAGATCCATCATTGTATAACTGCCATACTTTGCAGAGTGGCCTGTTTTTGTTCAAATAGTTACATTAGTAATCAATATTCAATACTTTGGTATTATGTCTAGCATTTTATTTAGGTCACTCCTTTTAACTTCAAACAATATCTAACCCCTGTATAAACTACACTATTTCAGTAAAGTATCAATACCTGGAGAGTCAGCTCTCATGTCACCACCAACTATCACTCCATGATGCAGTTCTCGTACACTATGTACTTTTTGCTGTTGTGGGTGGGAGTGGATGAATCTTCTCTATTTCAAACCACAAAGAAAGGAAAACTCATTTTGAGTTAAACAGATTGAGCATTCATCTGGACTGTAATTTAAACCATCACCCTGTTTGCAGCTGGTTTAATAATATTTATGCACATAATCCTAAATCACTGAGACTAATTCTTTAAAGTTTCTTAAGGGTCAAGATCATGTTATCTCCTGCGCTCCATCAAGCCACTCTCACAATAGCTGTTACCACTCAAATTAATGCATGACTCAGATTAACTGTATAGCATGCGTGTAAGACTCCAATACAATTATAAAGTAATTATTTTATCACAAATAATTCTTTCAGTGAGTAAAACTGGCTGTGTCTGTAGTAGTATTATAAACTACACAACATTATTATATTATTTTCAAATTAAGTTGTAAATGATTATTATTTTAAATTACTGTCCCTGGATTAGTAGGTTACTCTTGTAATAAAGTAGCGGCGGCTGGGACAGATTTGAAGTATCAATTCTGCTTAAAAAGATGCAATCTAATCCTGTTTACAGGAAATAAGCTGCTCCCGAGCAGGTTTAAGTTTAGGGACCTGTTGCTGTGACAGCAAGTCCGGGATGAGCTTCGAAGAACCAAACAATCCAAGATCAGGCCAAATCATCAACAATCAAATCCAGCTAACTGAGTTAGCGAGGTACGAAGAACAGGCCCCTGGTGAAAATTTCATGTCAACAGCACCTTTTAGAAATATATTTAATGAGAAAAATGGTGATGTGTTCAATACTTATTTTACCCGCTGTGTATATATATTCATGGAATCTGCACATGAGGACAGTGACAGAAAGAGGGGCACAGCTGAACACGATTGTCTTTTCAGGGTCAGATCCCTCATGGACACTATCCGGCATGCATATAAGGCCATCTATCACTATGTGAGAAAGTAGGTTATACATAGGGTGTAAGAGTGGGATTTTACAAACCTTACACCCTTTTTTTATTTTGCACTCATCCTGTTTACACTTTTTTTTGCAGTTTTTGTCCTGAATGTATCTTCGTGAGTGACCGTGTACACACACACACACACACACATATATATATATATA